GAGGTACACCTACTGAACGTTTGCATTGGGACTAAGGCCAGGAAAGTGTCACTCTCTCATTTATAATTTTTTATTTTGAATGATTTGTTTTATAATAAGCATGTATTACTTTAAATTTCATGAAAAATCGATAAAGCAATTTTACTTTAGAAAACAAAGACAAAAAGACCTGTGCTGTTGCTATGAAGTAGTTCAGATTGCTAACTCATTCCAGATTGTTGTCTTTTGCTTTGAACTCCATTTCTGATATTGCCTCCTTCCTGGATTCTGCCTTTTTCCCTCGTTCCTTTGCATTGACAATCTTGAACATCGGTTGTCCCCTTGAAGAGTTCTCATAATTAAGCAGGTGGCTTCCATGGTGTGGGAGAAAGACAATAGGACCTAGAACTAGAGGACTTGGATTATAATCTGGATTCATTTGTAGGATAATCTTGCAAATTGAGTAACATTTTGAGCATCAATTTTTCACTTGTAAAATAGGGATAATTCTTACTCTATTTTATTGGGCTATTCTATATCTTAAAGCATTTTATAAATTAGGAAGCACCATTATATATACTTGTCATATAATTTACACACACACACACACACACACACACACAGCCTCACAGGGAAATCCCATTTCTTCAATGTTAGACTGATATTATTCTCAAAAGTGTTTTCCTTTGATTAAGCTCAAGTTTGTCTCCCCACAGTATTTTATTTTGACTGTTTTTCAATTTGCAACAATATAGAATTGGTCCAGTCTTTATCACCATGTAATAACCAAGAAAGCTAATGGGTTCAAACTATATAGATTTAGGTCTATTTTTTCATAATAGAATTTTTACATTTTTCTGGAACTTCAGGAATACAGTGGATCTCCAGTAAAAAGTTTGAACGGCATTTGGAATAAAGGAAACCATCTGAGATTAAGTGTATTCAGGTGACTTCTTCCCATATATAATTGAAAATTATGTGTAGTTTGAAAAACCTTTCCTTCAAGTCTTTAATTGTAAAGAAATGAAGTTAAAAATTATGGTCTTAATTTTTATATGCCAATTTTTATGCTGTCCTTAGGGGGCAGTGCTAAACCACTGATAAGTTTCTTCATTTCTGCTAAAGCTACTGGTAATGGTTAATATGAAATAAAACTAAAATGGCAATCTTAATATTTGTGATAAAATTATACATAACCCTTAATATTAGTAAAATTTTGTAGGTAGTCAAATGAAAATGATAATTTGAAGCTCATTTATTCAGTGATTCATTCAGTAATTATTTATTGTTTCATTAATCATAACACATTATAGGAAATACAGTGTGAATAAGGCAACGTTTTCTTTCAAATAACATTGAGAAATAATGAGGGCAAATAGGCCACACTTGTGTATGTATGTGTACTATATTTGCACAAGCACACTGTGGGTCTACACAACTCTTTTAGGGTAAAAAAATAAAAATAGCAGTACGTATTGATTTTTTATGTGCCAATCTCTGTCAAGTAATTAATTTCATCTTCATACAGCCCTGAAAATAGAAATTATTACACTATTTTTGCAGATAGGGAAACTAAGGAATAATAAGATTATGTGATTTGCTCAAAGTCACAAAGCTTGGAAGTGGTAGAGCTTAGGACTTAAATGTATATCTGTTTGAGTTAAAAGCCAATGCTTTTTGCCACTATCCCATCTTTCAACTCAAGGTGTATGTGAAATACCATATTGCAAACACTTGCACAAAGAGCTAGAGATAAGCAGAAGAATGTGACATCACACGTGTTAGTGGGAAATCTGAACTCTATTTTGAATCAGTGGGATTATACAAAAATAATAAACATGATAGTTAATACTTACTGAAGCGGTGTGTGTCAGGCACTTTATATTTATTCCCTCACTTAGTCATCAGGAAAAAGCCGTGAGAGGGGTTCTACTATATTGTTTTCCATTGTATAGATAAGCCAAACGAGGCTGACAGTGGTCTTGCCTGCTGAAAATCGTACAGCTAGTGAGGGGGGTAGTTGAAACTTGAATCCAGTACTGTCTAATTTTAGAACCCAAACCGTTAATCACTGCAATATGCTGTGCAGACAGGTAAGGTGAAAGAAAGAATAAAAGCATAGGGCATGATTAGGCAAGGGTAAACAATTCCACTTGGTTGTAATCTGAGGTGAGTATAGTGGAAAAGTAAAAGGGCTAAAAATTCATTTGACTATAGAAACTTGAAGACAGATTAAGGAATTTGGATATCATTTGTTACGAAATGGGAAATAGTTGGAGCTTTATGAGCAGAGAAAGGAAACAAACTTTTTTTTTTTTTTTTTTAGGGAGGAGAAAGAGATGGAGGAAGTTGCCTGTGTGATTGGATTAAATCATTGTACCACCATTAACAAAATGGAGAAGAACAGATTAATCTAAAATGTTGATAATTCTTGGCCCAATATGTGGTGGTTTATAGTATGTGCCACATCTATAAACTGTCAGTGATCAAACTTAGCGATCTTGAGTTGGTAAAGGAGATGCCTTTTTGATCATTTTATTTATCCTTGTGAACAGTTATATCAAATATATATATATATACTCTTTCAGATTAGGGTTTTAAACTTCCCAAGATTTTTTTTTTTTTACTTAAAAGATCTGCAGGATAAAAAATCCCTGTGTAATCACCTTCTATTACTGATTTGAGAAGTGTGTATTTATGAAAGCATGGGCTGCTGTGTATCAAATTGCAGTAATTTCCACTCCCTGTCACAGATGGGAAAATGCTCTCCGGAGTATACTAATGTAACAGAAACATATTCACCAAATATAGCTCTTTTATTTAAACTGCATTTGTTTACATCAGTGTTTTTTCAGTACATTGTTTTTTTATAAGGTATTGTGCCAAAGGAGAGATCACAGAATGGTGAGGGGTGAGTGGGCTTTCCAGCCCCTTAGTCTGCATTAGAATCCTTTTTTTCTGCCACATGCCAGCTTCGTGACCATGGGTTTTACTTGACTTCTCTGTGCTTTAGTTTCCTCATTTATAAAGTGAGAGGAAAAATATTTGCCTCAAATGGCTGTTGTGTGAATTGAAATAATTGACAAATGAACAAGGCAGTGATACTCCCAGTCACATAGTAAGTTCTCAGTCTAATAGTTATTATTATTATTATTATCTTATTTTACAGATAGTGACTGGTGGGAGGATTACTAAATTTCATTATTTCTTAGTTACTGACAAGTGATCAAGAGAAAGTTAAAATGCGAATGCAGAAAACAAATTCTTTTAAATAGGAGGAAAACTAAAATTTTATATTTTTAAAAGCAATAGTTTTTTTTTGGGGGGGATGCTATTTACAATCCAACATGTGGAATATATTTACTTGCTTTAGTAATTGGGATCTATCAGTGTTGTGCTGAATACTATATTCAGAGGACCTTTTGACAATTTATTTTATTTCTTTTTATTTATGCATCTACACCTTGTTTTTTAAAACATATTCAGTCTACTAAGTATTTAGCAAGCTCTTAGAATATGAATTTTTTCTTCAGTTTCTGTAAGTTTTCTTGCTTTATTTCTTTGACTCCCCCATCTTTACCCTTAATTTTTTGAACTCCTGTTGTTCAGATGTTACAGGTTTTGGTTTGACTCCTCGTTTTCTCCACTTTTAAATTCTGTTCATCTTTTGGGAAATTTTCTCAGATTTTCTAACTCTTATATTGGACTTTATGTATTTTGTAACTTTCTGTTCTTGTTTCATGGCTATAAATATCTTATCTCTGAGGATACTATTTATAACTTTTTTTTATCTGTATTTATTTTGATGTCTTAGGGGCTTTTCTCAAATATATGATTCTCATTAGTGGTGTCTGTTGAGAGGTTGGCTTCACAGTAGAGATTAATACATAGATCCTACCATTTTCCTGCTTATTTATAGATTTTGTTTTTCTTGGAAGGTCTGTTTCTACAAAGAGGAGTATTCTAGTTGTTTATCTGGGGAATATAAACTTTGCTGCCATGTTGCCTAACACAAATATCACTGGTAGGTTATGAATCTTCATTACTATATAGATATTAACTTTCCTGTTTTTGGAGATTCAGTGTATCTGTATTCTTAGAATTCATAATCCTTTTGCTTCAACTTCTCCAGAAAAATAATCCTCTAATTTCTTGCCAGTGGTAAGTATTTAGTTTTCTGGCTGGGTGAAAAGGAAATGGGTCTAGGGGTCTAATTCTTTCTGATACTGAGTTTCATTCAGTGTCTGACCCACCTACATCTATACCTTCGCAGGTAGCCAAGTTCCTCCTATTCTTTCCACAGGAAGGTAGTTTCCTTGCAGTGTTCTCATATTTGCTAAGTCAATTAATACTTACCCATCTGCTACCCAATATTATCCAAAACTTTTCTTGATATTGTCTGTTACTCTCTTCTGTCATTCTTATTTTTATGATGTAAACATTTTTATAAATGTTCTACCATCATTTTAGTGAGATTTGAAAGATAAAGGAAAATATATGTGCTCAATATGGAAGTCTCAATTATGAATTTAAAAACTGTTACCCGGTTATATGTATGATATAAAATTTCATGAAGTTTTGTTTCAGTGGCATGCTGAAAAAACAGGGTTTTCAGCAATTCCTCTTTCAATAAAATATTTTTCTGTTAGTGCCCTGACTGCATTTTGTGCCCTGACTGCATTTTTCCTTAATTTTATGTCTAAACCTAAATTCTTGATTAAACCATAAGATTTTTATCATTTGTTGCTTTTCAAATATTTTATTAGATCATTATCGTGTTCTGGTCTTCATGATGAACTTCATATATTATTTTGTAAGCCTTTTACACCCAGTTTTTTCACTTTTAACTTAAATTGAACTATACATATTTTTGGCTCAGTCACAGGGCACAGCCACGTAACTATGGCTAGAAGTAAGCTGACCTGTTTGCCAAGATATATGTCATTTATAGAATTAACTGATGTTAAGCTATCTAAATATCATTGATATAATATATTGGTATGCTATAAATTTAATTTCAGAGAACCTCATCTACAATAAATTTGTCACCAGGAGAAGTGGAAGAGGAGGATGATGTTGAAAACACATGTGGGCCATCAGGACTTTGGGAAGCATTAACTCCGTGTAACGGATGTAGGAATCTTGGCTTCCCCATGCTTGCACAGGTAAAACTTTGCTTTTATTAAGGTATAATAAACAAAAAATGGTTGCCTGTGTTTTTACGATAAAATGTCCCTCCCCTTTGAAAATCTAATTAGTATCTTGTGGTTTTTCTCAAAGTGTCAAGTAAAATGTGCGTATAACTTGCTGTGCATATGTGTGCATATGTGGAGACATAATTTATGTAAAAATGTAGTATTGTTTAGTTTGGTTATAATGCAGAAAAGTTGTCTTTTTTTGTGAGGTTTTAATATTTAGAATCCAGAAATACATCATTTTAAAGAATGCTATTTTAAAAAAGTAATTAAAAGTTATCTATAGATGTAGTTACAAGGAAATGTATTATTGCTCTTTAAAAGCATAGCTAGTGATTATTTTTTTTCTAATCACAGTGGAACATTGTAGAATAATGTGAATGTGTACCACTGAAAGTTTCGGAATAAAATCCAAAAATGAAACCAGAACACTAAAATATTGACTATTAGTTTGAAGTTCTTTTACTATCATTACGTCTATTTTAATTCTATAATATCACCTTCAGATTCCTGTTGTGTGTTGTGAACCACACATTCTTAGAGGAGTTTCAGAAATGGCTAAAATATTCCAGAGATAGGAAATTTGAAGACATAGGGAAAACATCTCTGCGCAATAAACGAAGAACTGAATATGAAAGAGTATAATGTTAAAAGGTTAACTACATAGAAAGTGGATGGAAAAAACAGTTCAGGACAGAAAATGATTCACAGTACTTATCCAGAAAAGTGTTATATCTCTTCTGTCACAGCAAATATGAAACAATTGTGTCTAACGAACCATTATGTTTTCCACATGTCTGTATCATAATTTGACCATAGCCACTCAAATTTCAATATTAATTTATTGTAGGAACCTAAATAGGATATTCAAATCAGTATATAGTACTTAGAAAATCTCTTCATAGGACTTTAAGACAGTTTGCTTAATCTTTACAGAATTGTCATCAATATATATTAAACTGTGAGTTCCATAAAGGTAGAGATTCAACCGTTTGATGTTCAGCATCTGCAGTCTTAACGTATAGTTGCTGACAAATCAGAAGAATGGGTTGGATGTGTTGTCTCATGCCTATAATCCCAGCACTCTGGGAGGCCAGTGTGGGTGGATTGCTTGAGCCTAGGACTGTAAGACCAGCCTGAGCAACATAGTGAGATCTTTTCTCTCCGAAACATACAAAAATTAGCCAGGTGTGTTGGTGCACACCTGTAGTCCTAATTACTCAGGAGGCTGAGATGGCAAGATCACTTGAACCCAGAAGATTGAGGCTGCAGTGAGCTGTGATCATGCCACTGCATTCCAGCCTGGGTGATAGAGTAAGACCCTGTCTTGAAAAAGAAAAAAAAAAAAAAAAAAAAAAAAAAAAAAAGAAATGTCTTCTTTATCAAGCAAACTCTGATGGATATAAAACAAAAAAATAATTGGAATGAAATAGTAGTTGAATGGATCTCAATGAACAAATGTGTATATTCTAGGATGTTATGTCTTCACTTAAAGTTTTCACACACAGTTTTTAAAATCTCACATCTATATGGGTAAAGGGAAAGAAAATTAATAAGTAAAAGTTGTATTTATTAGCATACTTTTATCTCCTTAGCAGTTTATGAATAATTGAATGTTTTAACCTATTTTTCCCCTCATAAACTGTGTTTGTAAAAATACATTTTAAAATCATTACCTTATATCTTAAAAAGAATTGTTGGAATAAAATAAAGTATTAGGGTATTTACTATAATAGCTGGATGACTGCAAATCAAAAAGCTGTCAGTAATATGTTTATATCTGATTTTCTACCACCTTACTAACATTTACTTTTTTCTAAATTTAATTTTATTATTTTATTAACCTTGGTAGTAACTTGCTTTTGGTGTATAATTTTTTATTTTTTATTTTTTTTGAGACAGAGTTTCGCTCTTGTTACCCAGGCTGGAGTGCAATGGCGTGATCTCAGCTCACCGCAACCTCTGCCTCCTGGGTTCAGGCAATTCTCCTGCCTCAGCCTCCCGAGTAGCTGGGATTACAGGCACACACCACCATGCCCAGCTAATTTTTTGTATTTTTAGTAGAGACGGGGTTTCACCATGTTGACCAGGATGGTCTCGATCTCTTGACCTCGTGATCCACCCGCCTCGGCCTCCCAAAGTGCTGGGATTACAGGCTTGAGCCACCGCTCCTGGCTGGTGTATAATTTTTAGTATTAGATTTTTTCCCTTTGGCCATTTTCTTGGTGAAGACTGGTATTGTTCAGTAACTTTATCAGTTCCTCACATGTGCTAGTTACATTTACCACAAAATCTTTCCCAGTCTGCAGCTTTTCTTTGTCTTAATTTGTATGTGTACAAGTCCATCATGTGATTTTAAAAAAACTATCCAATTGATTAAGCCTCTCAGTCCTATTTTTTGTTTAATTCAGCTTATCTAGAATTCCTTTTAACATAAATTTCAAATATGACTCTATGTTATTTTTTGCTTGTCGATATCTAGTTTTCCTTGAACTTTCCATTGAACAATAACTCATATTCCTTATATTTTATCATAAAGGCTTGTTTATTTCACCCTTCTATTTTTTAAACCACATGACTCAGTGTTGATATTATTCATTATTAAATTAAAACTAGTAGCTGACTTGATTGCTTGCTTTATAAAACCTGTTTTTTATAATTGCTTTGTTGAATTTTAAAAGTATCTCTATTGGGATTTTAATTATTACTGCATTAAATCTATAAGTGTACTTGAGATACAATTTTTTACTCTAAGTAATCTAACAAACCAGCAGTAAGACTATAAATTCTTTTCTTTTCTTTTCTTTTTTTTTTTTTTTTTCACAGTCTCACTCTGTTGCCCAGGCTGGAGTGCAGTGGTATGATCTTGGATCACTGCAACCTCTGCCTCCCAGGTTCAAGCGATTATCCTGCCTCAGCCTCCTGAGTAGCTAGATTACAGGGTTCTGCCACTACGCTTGGCTAATTTTTGTATTTTTAGTAGGGACAGTGTTTCACAATATTGGCCAATATTGTCTCAAACTCCTGGCCTCAAGTGATTTGCCCAACTTGGTTCCCACTGTGCTTGGCCTCTCACCATAAATTCTTAAGAATGTGTGTGTGTGTCTGTGAATATTATTGTTTATGGACTATCCTTTAGCATTTATATTTGCATGTGTATGTGTATATACATATCAACATGTTTTGTGTACATATGTAACATTTATATATACATTTTAATTGCAATATATATTAAATAATTTTTATAGTTTTACAATTAAAAATATACTATATATAGCATATTTTATGTATATATAATATATAGTATGTGTGTGTGTATGTGTGTATACATATATATGTGTGTGTGTATACATGTGTATATACATAGATATACATGTGTATATACGTAGATATATGTATACACACATATATACATACACACACAATTTATAACATTTCGAATTCATCTTTTTTTTAGTTTATTACCTAGGATTCAGCCATTCTCAACCATTCACAAATGGTAATTTTTAAACTTTTTCTGTTATTATAAATATCTATTATCTAAATTATCTCTTAAACTTTGATTAAAAGAGATGAGGTAACAGGATATGTATTGTTCTAGAATTTCAAGAAAACTGTGACCTAGGAGCAGGATCTGATGGTAATGAGTATCAGGATTTGTAATCAGAGGCAGATTGAAATATTTACCAAAGGAATATACAATTTAAAAAGAGATTGAGTCAGATTGAAGATTTAGAAAAAAATACAAAATGTGCAATGCTTTTAATAATTATCCTTTCTGTGATTATCAAGGGTCTACAATGTGGTAAGCATGCTGACCATCCTTGAATACAAAGATAAAGTTGGTCTCTGTTAAGAGTTTGCAATATGGTCCTTTAAAACCTCTTAGGAAGTCTCCAGTATCATGATACTGGACTACATACCACATGAACAACAATAACTGTTTTATTTTTAAAAGGTTTTCATTTGAAATTATTTGCCAAAAGGTGATTTATTTTATGTATTAATAAATAATTAATTATTTGTATTTTAATTAATAATTATTTTACCTATTAATAGATAATTAAATAAATCATGAATGTAACCTTGAAATTTGCAAAGCTAGAACAGCTAATGTGAAATGTTTTTTGCATTTTGAAACCATTTTTTCAGGTCTGAAGCATTTTTGGGGGTCATTAAAAATCATTAAGCCATAAGCACTGTGAGGGTCTACTGAAAAACGGCTTCCTTACAATATTTACAGGAGTCTTTGAGATCTTTACAATTAGTACAGTGCTATGTAAAATTTTATATCCCCAGATATTTTCAATTGGAATAAATTATATTTCACATTTATAGCCCTTAATTGGATCCAACAAACATGTATCAAGTATATTTTATATTTAAAGCATAGTGGTCATGAGAAACATGAATACTGTGGAAACAATACAGACTTAATTGGGGGCCAGATTAGGGGAGCCAGATACATTCTGGTTCTGGGTTATCAAACCATTTAATGTATTACTTTAGTTTCAAGCAGATTTTTTACTTGCAAAATTAGAATGTTGTGTTGGCTAATCCTGTGGATATGGATCTTACAATTCTAAAATGACCTAATTTCTAGTTTTTATCCAGATTATGAATTGATCCTAAATTAGGGTTTTTTTTTTGCTGCCTCCAAGAATACTAAAATTAGAGAGAACCAGCTAAAAGATGAGTGCTTTGCAATTATCCTTCCATTGTGACTAGATTGAAGTTTCCACAAATTCATGAAAATTTAGAATTCTAAATAACATCAAGGGAGTAAAATTCTTAGGGAAATACTAAGAAGATTTACTGTAAATAGAGCTTTTATGGGACAATTGCAAAGCTGTTTATTAAGATTTAAGAAGGAAAATCAAGAATGAAGAGACTGAGAAAATTAAGCCTTTTCTAGAAATTATGATTAAACTCAGAATGTGTTTCTCAACACTACCATTTACACAATGCTT